TTTCAGTATTCAGCGCTGCGATACCTTGACTGACATTTATTCCGTCATGCAATGCTGTACTGAAATACATTTTATATAATTTTTGGGGGACACGTAGAGCTTTCTTTTGGTGGTATTTAATCACTTCTAATGTTTTTTTTTTTTTTAATGTATAACAAAAAAGTACCCAAAATTTTGAAGAAAAAACCTGTTTCCCTTTGAAATGTTATGAAACATTTATTATCACCCCAATTTTTTGGTAAAATATAAAAGATGTGGTCATCTTGGGTAAATAGACACGAACATGTCAACCCTTAAAATTGCACACGCCAGCAAAATCGCAAAAAACTATGACACCAAAAATTGCCCATAGGGGACACTTTAAAAGCTTTTACCACTCATCAGTTCAGCGTTATCAGTGATTGATGGCCCTAGAATTATTGCTCTCACTCCGATGTTCACAGTGATATGTAACATTTGTGGCACAAGGGGTGCAATCGTCGTTGTCGCACGTAGGCGCACCCGGCTCATATTTGCGTGTGTATGTGGGGGTGGAGGACTTTAACATTTTTAATGTGTTTTTCTTATTTCTTTTATATGTGATTCAATTTTTTTCTGCTTCTTTATTATTATTATTTTTTTACACTTAATTTTTTTGCTATCACATAGGGGAGAAGCCCCCTATGTGATAGCCAATTTACTTGACAGGTCCTCTTTGTGGAGACATCAGGGGTCTCTAAGTTCCCTAATGTCACCTAGGGACCCCCAGAGAAGCTGATTCAGCAGAGATATGCTTCATCAGCTTCTCCCCAACTTCTGTAGCCGGGAATGACAGCTGAATGTGGAAGTGATGTAATGTAGCTCACTTCCTGCATTCTGACAGCGGAGGGGAGATCAGAGGGAGATCGTGTACTGAACATCCTTTGTTGTCCGGTGATAGAGCCACACTGGGCACAGCGGATCTTAGGACCGGCGGGGGCGCACACCAGCAGAAAATAAAAGCGACCGGGCGTCTCTAAAGACGCCCGGAACGCTTGTATGTAAACAGCCATCGCTGGCTGTTTACATTTTTGACAGCTTCCCCACTCGTGCACAGTGCTGGGCACCATGCACGAGTGAGGGCGGGTAGGGACGTCTTAAAACGCCCGACCGCATCTACAAGCCCCTAGTCTGGCCGTTTAGGTACATCCAATGTATGGGAGGTGTTTAAAGAAGAATCTGGCCAGAATAAAACATAATCCTTTTAGTGGGGTTGCCCCCGCACTGCAAAGGTTAAGTGCTTGTTTTGGTCTAGAGTGTAAAATAAAGAAGATATACTCATATGAACCTCAGCCCGGCATGCCTGTTAGATCGGTCCCTGCAACCTCTCTCCCCCTCTAATCCAGCGGTGGAATGTACCTTGGCTTATACACTTTATAGGATGTGATGACTCTTGAATCCTTAGACTGCTGTATTCATATTCAATAAATAATTATCCATAGGAGTCATATGTATGTGTCCCGTTTAGAAATATGTGTACAAAAGCACACATTTTCTTAATGAATATCAATCTTTGCTCAGTAAATAGATGTTTGGCAAAACTATGCAACAGTCTCATTCATGGAAATCTACTAATTGTATTTGAAGATATGAGAAGACTAGTATTGGCACAATCAGGAAACTAGCTGGTAGACATGTAAGCTGGTAAAAAAGTTTTGCTTCATTTTAATTCATATTTTTCATTCTTTTGGATTTCAGGTTTCTGGTCCGAACACCATTTCATTTTGTTATTCAGATTATGATCTTTCTGATTTTTTTATTTCAATTTCAGACAGGATTTTCTGATTGGCCAGCAAACAATGTCTGATTTATTTTTATTTTGAATTAAATTCGTGTGATCTGAAATTTCAATAAAAGAACATTCGGATTCATTTGAATTCAAACTCATTGGAAATCAGACATTCAGATGCATCCAAATGTCCAAATTCACAAAACTGAATCCGAATTTGCATTCAAAACGAAACAAAACTTACATGTCTATTAGCAGGTTAAAATTTTTAAATCATATTCTGTTAACCCAAAATTATACACTAACAATGCGACGTCCACAAATCTGTAATAACCCAACATTTTGATGTCAAACAAAATGATGATAACATTATGCAAATAATCCACAGTGAAACTCACATTTACGTGAAGCACAATCTCAATTGTGCAAAACTGTAATAATCAACTCCCAGAGTATTAGTGTTAAAAATATCATCACATGTGTAAAATCACAAAAAGCTTTTGCACATATACCCGTGATCATGATGTGTCAACATGTGCAGCCTTCTCAATTGTTAAGATCAAACTCCCATGTGCAAAGGTGCCTTTTCCTCCAACATAAATATTGCTCACTTTAACATATGCCTATAAAGCAAAATAACCTGGCACTGGGTGGTGCTTATAGTTAGTAAAGAGGAAATACACGGAATAATTGTTTTCCATGTTGGGTAAAGGGAGGCTCACCATAGGGTAGCCAGATAAACCCAGTCCATGCATTTTTAGTGATAATTATGTAGTGTAACATTAGAAAAGAAGTGATAACAGAAAATGTGAATGTGGTAAAACATCTACTGTGTTACTTCTAATTATATTAGAAAATGGAAAAGTGTTTTATTTTCTGGCTGTGCCCAAAAATATATTGTAGAATTTGAGGGGGGGATGGAGTAATTGTGGGATCTTTTACACTAGTATACCTTTAGTCTAAACAATTATATAACCACATGAGGCTCCTACATTTTGGTAAGGAAGACCCTTGGGTTTGATAAATCTTAATCACATTGAGTGTTAAATCAAGCAGCAGGTCATCCTTATTATTTTAGTAAGGAAATATTCTGGCGAAAAGAGTGCTAAGAAATGCAGCAGTACACTAGTGACACAAAGCCACAGATGATGTCATTTTCTGTTTGTATGAATGGTTTATTAGAATAGAAAACTTACTATGACTGGCCATGTTGCATAAATATTTACAATGTTCATAGACTTGACCCTATTTCTGCTTTCTTGAATTGCGCTAGAGAGTCAAATTAGTGATATGCCACAGTTGATTACTTGTCCATGGTACAAAAAGCCACTTCTAGGGGTTTTCACTCTCTACAGCACTGAAAAATTTGACCGCTTCACTATGTTTCCTTCTAATTGCAGTTGTCACAGTCACCCAACAAAATAGCTTTTTAAAAATGACTGATTTATGTTTTCCTAAATAATGAATTTGATATATCAAATAGAATCATTGAAACCATCAGCACATTTTCTGATAACTGGGTGGCCAGGAAATAGTGGCATAGGTTATGATGACATAGATGGACTTGGTGTACATTAGAAATGTTATTATTACGTTTGTTTTAGATTCATAGCTCTCGCAGTTATCTGACACATATTGTTCAAAGAAAATAAGCGAAACTTCTACAAAAGCTTGATGTTGAAAGTGTTCTGTCCCTAGGGGAATGCCATTTGCAGTATGTGATAAAGTAACATGTTTCCACTGAATCTGTCAGTGCCTGGATTAACATTATAATGTAATGCTAAATTCAACATCAGCATGGACATTAGGAATAACTTATCTGTATTGCCCATGCACAGACCAGTGGCAACAGTACCTGCCTCTGTTTAAAGGAAAAGGCCCGAAAAATCACAGATTTTCCACTGCTGATTATTTGGCATGAAAGAGCTAATTGTAAAAGTAATATTTAAATTGCTTTAATCTGCAACATTAAGATGTTGTTTTTATACGTGAAAGATTCCCTGTAATCTTCTTAGTATGGAATTGGTCAGAGTATTAAACATTGCTAGGCATGCACAGTCTGACCATATGGTTAAGTAGTTTTCATGTTAAAAATATGTATTTCTTTGAGGATTAAGACTGAGCCCAAAGGACAATGTAACTGATACTATGGATTAACATCTCCTTAAAGACACTTTCATATGTTACTCATATTCATTTGTCTACAATTATATTTTGTTTATATTACATATACGTCAAAGGAGACAAGCTATGTTCCCAGTTGTGTATTATTATTAGACACACTTATTTTACAGTAACATTGCTAATTCCCTAGAGCATTGTATGCCAATTTTTTCATACACAGCTAACAGTGCTAATCCTCTTATGTAATATCTGATCCCAGTTCAGCACTCTACATGACTTGTCTAGGATTATAAATGGCTTCCTCTTTGCTTTAACCTCTATGTCAAGTTTGGTATATTTACAGTACTTGCCCTTCTCCTTCCTCTTAGATCATAGCACACTATTCCTGACATTATTTCAGTACAATATAATTACTTTAAGACACTGAATTTATTTTTAGGGGGAGTGTGCACCTAATGCAAAACATGGGTAATCCAGAGGTTTTCCCTAATAACAGAGGGCACTATTTTCTGAAAAATGCATACATCATATGAACAGCTCTGTAGCACAAAATATTTTTATATTTTAATTTTATATATACATTTTATTTTAAATACAAGATGACATTGTATACCCTTGATTTTGTTATGCATCTTAAACAAAGCTGGATAAAAACATCAAAGCATGCTAACATTTGGGGAAAAAAAATTAATCACACCATATAATGTCTGATGGGCTATACATAGTTATTACTTATTTATTACCAATACACAAACTGTAAAGTGCTACCTGTGGGCTCCAACTGCATCACCTCCCTTTCTTCTATTGACATTAAATAAATCAGCAATTAGCATACAATAAAACACTAAAACAGGGTAATTAAATGGATCATGTGAAATAAATCCATGTCTACGATATCCCTTGATTTCTTAAGTGATAGACATGCATTTATTTTCTAATAATGATTAGATGTTACTTTCCCAACGTAGCTCGGTATTGCTGTTACAATTGCAACTCATTTTATTTATTGATAAAACACATGGTTTTATCAATAAAGATGATAAATAATGTAATGATGTCCTTGCATGAATTTCACTAATTAACCATAATCTTAGCCATAAGTCATGGAGGAACAGGGATCCTTCCTTACCTTAAATGTATTGATTGGCACGTCGATTATGATTTGAAGGAGATCTCCCAAAGCTAAACTGGCAATCAATAAATTGGTACCATTTCTCATGTTTTTATCCTTAAAGATGATCCTTAAAAGGGTTGCATTACCAATGATGCCCACTATGAAAATCAGGCAAGACACCACTGTGTTAATGTATTTGAATGTGTCCTGAATCATGATTTGTTTATCACACATTGGAGTCAATTTTCTTTCACCAGCCAAACCTTTCTTTTCCAATGTACTGTGGTTCAATGAGTTAGCATTCAAAGTTCGTAAATCAGCTGACTTCGCTGTCGTGGGCACGCTTCCCAAAAATGATAGTCCTTCATTAGGTAATGGTTGAAGGGATGGACTATTCTCTTCTCCAAAAACTATAACTGCAGACAGCATTAGCAGCATCATACCTGCGCACCACTCCATGATCTGCATGATGCTTCGGGTTAATAATTAATATTTTAGTTAATATACGTAGGTCTACAGAAGGCAAATCAATCAGTATTTCCAGCCAGGGCCTGGGCAAAATGACAAAAGGTGTAAATGTATTACAATCTAATCGTATATTATACTTTGATGTAAACTAAATTAACATAGCAATTTTATTTTTAATATGTAAAACAAGGCCAGTCTTAGTAGATGATCACTTAAAATGTAGCACGTATAAAAGATACAATATAAGAACAAGGACAATATAATGATTTTAATAATATCTATAGTATATCTATAATACAACATTTTTTTAATGTCATTTGTGTTAAAAAAAATTAGAACAAATTTTAACAAATAGCTGTACAAATTCTAGTCCCAGTGTACATTGGGTCATATAGTACCTCCTAGCTGTAGAAATCATATTGCTATTAAAAGATTGCATATTTAATTATCTATTAGCT